TTAAGTCATCTCCAGACTGGAGAAGCGAAACTCTAAAATGCCTCGGGTGCTCTTAATAGGCATTAGAATGGTCCTCCGCTTGCAACCATTTTGCTAGTTCAAAGGGACAGGTGGGACGTAGAGTGAATCTGTCCTGGACCAGGAAATGGTACAGGTGTGTGCAACACAGGTGTGCTTTGGTCTGGAGATGGGAGTTTGAGGGAGGGGCTTCCCCTGAAGCTCCGCCCCTCCCTTCCTTTAGCTCAGGTGAGAAAGCAATTCCACTCCTAAGAGATTCAGTTCTCAAGCGGCAGGGAACAGACGATGTTCTCCTCTGAGCGATAGCTTCCTCCTGGTTTGCAGGACCCATTGTTCAAGATCCAGGGGGAATCTTGGGTGGCAGACTGCCAAGCCACCCTCCAAGCCCTCTGCACTGCAGGTGCCGAGAAAGATGGGCGCTCTGTCTGAAAAGCACCTTATGGAATCTGTGATGATACGGTTTGCTGGCTTCCGAGCGATGCCACGGCTAAAAGGGAAAGCATAAATCCTTTCCTTCTGAAATGAATAATGGGGGTAGGACCATAAAGAAGATGGCGAGAGGCCAAATTAACCTCCCTGTCTCTGGAGATGGCAGCCAAGGGTTCCTGTAGTGTAACCATGTTATGAGAATGGATGAGAGCCCTCGGACATAAAGGGATAATGAAGTGCAGAGCTGTACTTTCCGGCCAAGCGCAGGGGAGCGATGTTGGTGACGGATATAAATCTTTGGCAAGGTGACATTAAAGGCAAGGCAGAAACGATCCCCTTTTGTAGGCGCAAAGAGGACGCCATCGCGACATGATGTACGGCTCCGATCGCTGCAAAAAGGAAAATGAGTGGCAAAGAAGGAGGTGTGCACGGAGGGTGGCCTTGCTTTGCAAAATTATATTACGGGAAAGTTGGGGCTCTTTTTCAGATCTGGCCCCGCTTCCAGGACAGGCATGGGAAAAAGGATAGGAGTAGGAATTTGATGCAGACATTTTTCTACTTACGTAGCATGAAGAAGACAAGGCATTGCACATTGTAGTTTCTCATTTTACCAGCCTTTCTTCTGGAGGGTCTCCTATGCCTTTAGCGCTGGGTTTGGGGAGCTACAAGCAACCTACGGTGACCGAAGTGCAGCTTCAAGCCACGGGGAAGCCCCCCAACGTAGGTCAGCTGGCTGATGGAAAGAGCCCCTGATTTCTGACTTGATTGACCAGAACCCAACATCCCTTCCAGTTATTGGTCTTCTCATCAAGGAGCAACCTGGAGACCAGAGCATTGCTTTCTCACTGGTTAATGACACTGGGAAGAACATGATCTCTGTAGAGTGCTGGGTTGAGGTAGACCACGAAGAAAGAGGGTTGAGATGTGTGAAGAGCCTCTAAGAGAGATCTGGGCATCAGTGGGTGTGTAGAGAGTGGTTGATGGAGACCCAACCTCCCCTGATCCCCTTTGGACTCCAAAACGTTCTCTGCTTTGCTTTCACCACTGTGGGAAACTTTCCTTATTTCTATAGTAGACTTGTTTATAAGAAATAAGACTTCCTTATTTCTATAGCTGGGTCATGTTGACTTCTGGTTGTTCTATTAGACCCCTTCGATCTGAAAACCCACTTCTTTATATCCTACACAAGGATCAAACTCAAGGGGTGATAGCTTGTAGTATATGCCCAATAGGAACATTTTAAAAAAGCAATAATGATGGGGTGGGCGGTAGGGAAAGTAGGATCATTCCTGTAGAAGAAGGAAGGGGTTCAATAACTTCCCCCTGTTGAATTTTCCCGCTGGATGCGGACCCCCAATTTTGCTGAATTTTTGCAGAACCCAAAGAGAGGTAATGGTTAATCTCCCCGACTTGTGATTTATACCTTTTAAGCTTTGCACATTCTGCAATGAGCATACGTCAAGTTTTCCTGACCATGCAATTGCCTTGGAAAAAAGTTAATCCCACAGAACATAGTACGTACAGTGTTGTCGTTTTTTTCCAGAAAGAACATGTTTAGGATCCCACTCCAGGACTGTACTGTCCGACTTTCCCCGTGCAGGTGGCCTTGAAAAGATCTGATGGTGGTAAAAATTAAAAAAAATAAAAACCCACCTTTCTCACAGGAGGAGCCCTGTTTAGCTTTTCCATCTTTTTCCTGCAACGCTGAGGCAAAACGACCTCTTCGTGTTCCCTCTTTCTTCTAAAAACAAATGTGTTTGTTCCCTTTTTCCTATTTTCAGATGACGGCATGGGCAAACGGAGAAAGAACCGGGCCGTAACTGCAAATATTTTTCTTTCTCAGATCTGGCCAGATGTTTTGCACACTTGCCTGAGGAAAGCACAAGACCCCCTCTCCAGAAATTCTGGGGAATTGTGTGGAGTTTGGCTCATTAAAGTGACAACAGGTGACTCTCTTCTATTCCCTGCACCCCGAATTCCTTTCCAACTTCGTCCTCATGGTTATTTCGAAGCACAGTGCCCGGTATTTTGAATTATTTTGGATTCCCGCTCATCCCCTGCACTATTTTTCCTTGGAAGGTTTTTTATTTTTCTGCAAATCTTGGGATTTTGGGGGTGGAGGAGGGGTGGGGAATTTCCCTTGGGGCCACGATGAATGATGCTCACAGCCTGCCAATAAAATAGCAATAAAATTGAGGCTCACGTTTTAGGTGAAGGTATTTTCGAGAGGAGAAGAAAAGAAAAAAAGTTCCTTCAGAAGAAAAGCAGGTATTGTTTTTCTCTTCTTCCACTTTAGCATAGTGATTAAAGAGCTGGACTGGGAATAGGGAAATCTGGGTTCAGGTTCCCACTTGGACACAGAATTCACTGGGGAGCTTTGAGCCCACCATTCTGTCTCTGTCCAACCTACTCACAGGGTTGTTGTTGCAGGGGTAGAGGAAGAATTGCAGTGGTGTCCCCAGGGTCTGGTCAAAAAAGTCAAGACGCAGCCACAACAGTGCAATCAAAGCTTCATCCGCTTTTTATGAGCGTCGGGTGTGAATGCAATGAATACAATTTGAAAAATTAAACCATTCATTCAGTGCTCACAATCCCGTCAACCTACAGCCCAAGAAAGGGCTGCGTAACAGAATTCTTGAACCGTTCAGAAAGAAATCCTTTTTATTCTTCACTGTTTTAATCCTGAACAACTTTGTAACTTGTATTTTTGGAAAAGGAGAAGAAAGGAAAACCTGTAGACTGCCATCTGCCAATGTTTAATCTGAACACTTTTGTAACTTGTATTTTTGGAAAAGGAGAAGAAAGGAAAACCCGCAGACTGCCAACTGCCAATGTTTAATCTGAGAGTTAAGCCTTTGATTTCCAACTTTCCCATTTAAAATTTGTCTTGATGCCAAAATTTGGGTGAGACAAATCAGTATAAATCAGTGTTTCTCAAC